GGTTCATAAGAGATATATATAAATAAATTTGCTGTTACTTTTCTTCTAGGACTAGTGCTGAGAATCGCAGGGCTTTCTCTGCATCCATAAAGCAGAATCGAACAAACAAATGTAAATAGATTTTAATTTATGCTTCATATAGGACCTTTTCCAATTATTTTACAAATGTTATTTTTGTATTAACACTTAACTGTTTACTATTTATAATGAAAGTTGTGTTTTTGAATAAAACATTAATACATAACATCTTTGTGACTTATTCATATAGGAAAATGAGGGCAAGAGATACGCACACATATTTTACAAATTTGCTAAAAAAAAAATTTAAAAAAAACTAGTTAAATATAATGTTTAACTCGTGAAGCATTTTTTAGAAATAATTTGGAAGTTTTACTGCATTCTGGTTCATATCTGAACTTAATTTTAGTTTTTTCATTATGATTTGTTCAAAAAAAAAGATTTTTTTTGTCATTCTGGTCTTACTACACGCGGCTAGACTGATAACTCGTTAAATAGTAATTTAGTACAGCTCAAAAAGGTATATCAAAAATCAAAATGAAATTAATTTTAATCTAAGCCTTATTGGAGAATATATATTAATATATATTGTAGCGGGGAAAGAGTAGTTATCGACTATGTCAACCTTCATCTATGAAAAGGTACCCCGACATAGAGTCGAGTTAACATGTCTTATATACTAGTGAATTGTAGTTGCAATTTTGTAGTGGTAGATACGCTACAGTACTCCTCCACCAGAATTTTAGCTGTGATAAAATTCGATACACGGATACCACTAGTCGCTTCATTGTTGTTTTGTGAGAAGCCGGGAGAGCTGTATTAATATCACCGTACTTTCTGAGTGCTGAATATGAGAGGTGTAATAACTTCACGGTCGTAGTCGCTCTTGTGTTGCCGTTGGCAGTCGAGTGTATGCAAGCCGACGTTTTGCGTGATCGAGACGAGACGGAGCAGCAACATTGCGAGGATGTAGATAATGTAGCAGTCACATGTAGCAATTCAACTGTTCAATGTGGACCATCCATCGAAGTAGACGTTTCCAGATCGAAGTGGGAGTTACTGTCACGATAGGCGTGTTCATTTCGAACAACCAAGGTAGGCATGTTCACATCACGTCCGGGTCACCAATGTAGGGAAAGAGTAGTTATCGACTATGTCAACCTTCATCTATGAAAAGGTATCCCCAACATGGAGTCGAGTTAACATGTCTTATTATGCTAGTGAATTGTAGTTGTAATTTTGTAGTGGTAGATACGCTACATATATTAATTAAAATATTAATTTGTAATAGAGCATTTCACAGGACATTTTGGACGCACATCACACATTTTAAAACCATTATTCAATTTGGTTTATTTCATAAATGTTTCTTTCTAATTTATCAGAAGAAAAAAAAAACAATTAAAGGATATTGAGATGCAGTCCTGGTAGTTCTACTAGTCATTAGCGAGGGGAAATTGGTAACTATTTCTAATTTTCAGATTTGAAAGAAGTTTTTCTTCTGGCAAAGGAAAGATTCATGATTAGAGGAACTATACCCATCATTTTTTTTAAGAATTGAACATTCTTATCTCTAAACCTACAAACAACTTCCACTCTTTCAACTTAATACATAACACTTTATTTTAATAACTTTACTAGCAAAGTGTCATTAACTCCATTGAGTCAGTGTTGTCAAGAAGTTTCAATTCATTTATATCGATCTGATCATTGCGATTTAAAATAGAAAAATAATATATAAATGAAAAATCAACTCAAAGTATGTCCATATTAGCCCTACCACGAAGACATATGTTCGTTTATACATAATGCTACACAGAGCCAATGATAATTTTTTAAAAAAATTTTTTAATAAAATAGTATCAATCATAACATAGTTGAAATTCTGATAATAAAATATGTTAAATGAGTAGTAAAAAGAAGGTTAAGGTTACTTTTTCCCCTTAAAAATCTTCGTTTACAAATTTCAAGTATTGATTAAGCAATCGCACATGGAATTTTACACCAGTGTTGCCAATTTACGATGTTTCACAGAAGGGCTTCTACTGGTAAATAAAAGTTATTCAATATATGCACTTAAAACTTGTGTTCACCCCAACACCCTTCACTATAAAAGACATGTGATGTCAATTTTTATACATCAACGTACACAAGACTTTCACTTAACAATTTCCCATCCGAAGTCTAGTGTAATGTCAGAATTGATAAAGGGAATTTTCTAAATGTAAAAGGCTAGATGTATAAAAGCCATATTCTCAGACAAAGCGATGTCCAACTGTGGACTAATCGTTAAGACACGGTTCCCAGCAGATCACCGAAGTCAAGCATCACTGGCTGCGGTCAGTGTGCGGGTGGGTGACCACTTAGATTAGTTTGCGTAGGGACCGAGGGTGTGCGGTATTGGTCCTCGTTAAACTGTAGAGTGCTCGACTTCGCGTGCAGGTCATCCCTCTGCAGAGGATCAAAATTGTGACGGTATGTCTTCGGAAACATCCACAGGGATGTTTCCCAGTCCG